GGTAGAGTGAGTGAGATACAAAAATATACCTTTAATGCTTATTGAGGAATAAAACTAGCTTCTTTTTTTTCTCTCTTAACCGATCAGGAAGGTAAAAATGAGAGAACCCAGATTTATAAAACGTGCCCCTGGATTCTACTTGTCCCATAGGATGCCTAAAGTTGATCAAGCAATAAAGAAAGGGGAGGTGCAAATACGTTCATCTTTCCCATTTCAAGTAGCAGTGCCTGATCACTTGTGCAAATATGACAGATAATTGAACTTTGTTAAGCAACACATTGATTGTATTTTAAGGAAATGAAAAGTAATTATTCGACATAACAGTTGAATGCCACTGTAGAAGGCAAGCAAACTAAACCAGGCAACCAACCCCTAGCGAAAATTATCACATGATACCAAAGCATAGATGTTCAAGGGACGATGTTAATAATGATAAACCTTTTCAATGATGATACGATCACCAACACGAAGAGTCGGGTACATGGAGGACGACGGGATGAAGCGAAGCTCTGAAAAAGTAGACCACAAAAGCACCAGAACAAGAAGCCTTAACAACCCATCAAGACCAGGCCATCGAAGAAACCCCCAGCTCTGGCATGGCATCCATTTTAGTACTGTGGCGGATGTTATAAAGAAATTATTCAATGCAGATGGCCTCAAGAAACTCATTGTAAAGTGTTGCGGAACTAAAGGTGATGGAAAAATCAAAAAGGACGGACCGATGCAGCAAACTACGAAGAAGTAAATGCGAGGCTTAAAGGTTACGGAGGCAGAGAAAGAGAGACAAAAGGGTGATGTGCTATGTATGTATTTATTGACTAACTCAAGCTTGTTGAGGAAGTTTCAACCAGAGAGAGAAAGGCAGATTCTTCTCGTTCACACTGCCGGGCTTTACTTTTTTGGCGACCAAACTACCACTAGAACGCGTACATACACCGCTAAATACCCCTGTAGCTGATAATTATTTTTAAAATTAGGCAAATATAACACTATGTACAGTTTCATCATTTAGATTTAAATGCGTGGTTGAATGGTGATGGAGAATGTATTTTTTATTTTTTGAGTTCTTTCGAGACTGATATCTGGAAAAAAAAAATTTAATGCATTATATTAATATAAGAATTTAAAAAAAAATTATTTTGAAATGGGATTTAGTCTCCATTGATGTTTAAATTGACTCTAATATATTTCTTATTATCAAATTAGAAAATACATAATAGAAGATATATGTTTGGTAGTACATTTTTTTAAAGCTTTTGTTGTTTTAAAAAAATATTAAATTAATAATTTTCTAATTAATTTTGATGATTTTGATATTCTTGTATTACAAATATTTTAAAAGATTTATTTTTATTTTTTATTTTTTACCAAATCCCTTAAAAAAACACCTTAATCACAATGTCAGATAATAATTAAGAATACCGATACAAAAATTAATTTCTATAAAATTTAAAACCGCCGTCAGTTCATTTTATAAAAATAATATGCTCTAGGAATTGAGAATGTATCTTTATTAACAATAAAAATATGAAAATAATTTTTTTTATAAACTTTAAAACCGCCGTCCGTTCATTTTATTTTATTCTTTGACTTCAAACTTCAATTCAAGAATAAAAAACTGGTTGTGCTTGGAAAAAATATTAAAATCCTTATCACCATCACACCCTTCCTGAAGAGAAACTGATTTGTAATTTTAATATGTTAAAAAAAAAATTAAAATTTTATCTTTTTATCAAATATTAAAAATACAACTTTATTAAAGTAAACAAAACATTAAATTATTCTTATTTTGGCTTTCTGGTTTATCAAAAATAAAAAAAACCATCCATCCAACGAAAAAAACAAATCAGACACATTCACTTTTACCATGTTTGGCACACACACTTTTACCATGATTTATATGTTTACAAAATAACTATATTCAAAATAAATCAAATACATTTCAAAAATTACAAAATAACAAAGTAGCCCCTAAAATTCCAGGAACTGCAGGGAAGTCTTCTGAACTCTGCCGGAATAGTGGCGGCGCGTCTGCTCCATGAGCGGCCGACACTGCGGCGAGTGCTTTCACGCGCAACCACGAGTGAGTCCAGGCAAGGTGATCTGTAACTGTTTATTCCGCTCTTCCCTTCCCTGCTTGCGGTGAAGATCACCGTCACCTGCAACAAGAGAAAATGCAACAGGCAGTCGAGTAAATTTTCTTTCTTTATCAGATCTACTTCTCCCCCCTTACATATCTGTTTTTTTGTTCTGATTTGCTGTTCTTTCCTTCTTTTTCAGGTGTCAGATCTGGCGGTCGGGCGGCGACGGCGCTGGATTCGGGCTGTTGCTTTGGCCGCTGTTATTGGAGGCTGAATGGAAGGGATGTCTGGTTCGGTTTAGCAGAGCTTGGGAAAGCTGGAGACGGCGTCTGTGGGGGCTGGTCTCCTGTGAGGACATCGCTGATATGGTTGACAGTGAAGGGGGTCGGCGGAGACGGGGAACGGCTCTGCCCGTTTTTGGTCTTGGCGAGCTGGCGGCTGGTTCAGAAGTAAAGGAAAATGAGGGCTGGTGTGCTTTTCGGTCGGTTGAGAGGAAAACAAAAGGAAGTGAGGGGCTTTCAGGTGGCGGCTGAGAGAAGAAAATCAAAGTGGTGAGCTGACTGTCTTGTGGCTGAGAGGGGTGGTTACGCCGGGTGCAGGGGAAGAAGGCAAAAATCCAAAAGGAGGGGGGCAGCAGCTCCACTTGGCTGGGAGAGACAATTAAGTTTCCAATAATTTGTTTCCAAGAAAGATGTGGTCCTTGTGGACTTATATTTATATTTATAGGTAGAATCTTGTTTGCTCTAAAAATTATTCCCTCAACTTTCTTTTTGTTTTGCAAATTGATTTTTTTTATTTAAAAATTTAAAAAAAGGAGTAATATCACCGTTGACTTGAATAAAAAAAACTATTAATTTGAAAAATAACACATTAAAAATATATTAAAGAATATATTTTTTAGATTTTTATTGTTTTTTTGTTGTTTTTGAATTTAAAAAAAAATTATAAAAAGATAGTTTTGATAGCAACATCTCTTTTATTTTTTTTCTTCTACTCAAGCTGTAACGAAGTCGTTGGAACTCGGTGGCGTCGATCATCAAGTTAAATTTTCCACCAGGGAGTACTGACTAGTGATTAACCATAGCCAGACGCCAAGCAACTATTTTCAACCTCAAATGCCAAAGATCGTATTAATGAACGAGGAAGGAGCAATTCTAAACAGCAAGTAATTTTCGCGGTAGAAACATCCCACAATATTCCTTGGGTTCAGGAAACTTGGTCCCTGCTTAGGAAAACAAACAAAAAATCTGAAATTGCGTAACCGAGCACGATACATCGTAGAGGTTACAGTTGAAACTTCTATAAAGCACTACTAACCCTCCTAATTAAGACCTTAGTCTTGCAAAGTAAATCGCAGCTTCGAGGTTTAGCTTCCCTTATAATGTAAACCTTTTGTCTTCTAATTGGCCATTATTGACTGCTGATATTGCACTGATTTAGTAACTGGTCTGGAAGGGTTTGATCGACTTGAGATCGCCGACAATTCCAGCAACAGAGCCAGCAGCGGCAGCCATAGTGATGATGAGGCAAGCAACACTTAGGATCTGCAGGCAGAGCCATCTTTTGCTCCACTTTGGTATCTTCTTTTGTACAATATACATCTCCACAGGGAAGTAAACAGTCAATGGCCAAAATCCCAAAGCCCCAAGTAAACGAACTATGTCATTAAAGAAAGGAAGGAGCATTGAAATCACAGTGGTGAGGACCACAAAGAGGGTCCTCCAAATCATTCTAAAGAGATTGAGATTGTAGGGGCGGAAACCAGGAATCGGGATTTTGATGTCTTTCGTAATGAATTCACTATCTGGGAATCTTTGAGCTGCTTCTTTTTCGATGAAAGCATAGAGAGGTTGGCAGGAGACCCGGTATGCGCCAACATGGTGAATCACTATGGCAGCATTGGCAATATCAAGCAGCCAATATGGGTTATAAAAGCCAAACCCAGTAAGGAGATTTCCAGGGGACATGTCTCCAAAAGCAGCATAGCCAAAGCAGCCACAGAACATGTAGAAAAGGGTTGTGACTACAACACTTATTAGAGTTGCCTTCTTCATTGTCTTGGCTTCTGATGGTGGCGATTTGATTGTGTCCTGTTAATTATGATACAAACCTTGTAGGTTAGTTTAAATTCTAAGAGAAATTATCCACCATATCCTATATATAATGTTAGCAAATGAAATGAGTAAGCTGCAAATATATATATATATAATGTTAGCGCTCACCTGAATTTCAACGAGGATCATGGAGAAAGAATAGGCAAAAGCAATGTCACCGAGTGCTTGGAAGCTCTTCCATATCTTTTGGGTTTGAGTCACGGTGCCAACGCTTATTCCAGTTAGACTTCCACTAATTTTTCCATTTTCTATAACTTTACCAATGCCAAGACCTAGACCAATTGATGAATAAGTGAAGGACATGACTGCAGCGACAAGAGAGAGCCAGTGTAACTGATCAAATCCAGGAATTTGAGACAAAAGTATCTCAGCTATGCCAAACCCTATCATATATGGATTGGCATTCATACGGCATGGATTTTTTCCACCACTCTTGTAAAAACAATTTGACCTCTTTATTGCCCTGTAAGTGTAGAAAGGAAGAGGATCATTAGCCCAAAGAATTCATAATATATCGAGGCATGATCAGAGATTACAAGTAAGAACAAAGAAAAAATTTGAGTTTTTGTTGACTTGAAAGTGAAAGCTTACATCATGCTTATAGATGATGCAATTGTGTAGCCAATGGCAACTCCAAAAAGATTCAGGTACTGAACAAATCCACATATCTTGACCTTAACACCACCTGAGAAAAAAAAAAAAACATATTATCAAGAAATTATATTTTTTTAAAAACTTCTTTCAGAGTTGTCCAGAATATTAAACAAAGAAGAGTAAAGTTACCAGTTCGTTTGGGGCGGCCATCATCATCAAACCACTCGGAGCCACTTCGTGGATGGGTGTCAATTGAGACGCTGAAAACCTGGTGAGGGAGTTGGTTCTCCGCGGATGTGTTCTCACCCATCTTTGTTAACAAATTATACCAATTATTGTGTGAGTTATGCTATAAAAGAATCTCTAATTACTTGAACTATACTAGAGTCTGTGCACTGAATACAGTAACATCAAAGAAAGTGGAAAGAAGTGTCGAAAGAACGAGACGGGGCTCCCTCCTTGATCGATCCAGGTCCGGTTCCAAGTATGGAATTAGTCTCAGACCGAAACAGAGACAGGATCACACACCTCCCAAGAAAACCCAATTTGGTTTAGTGCCTAGTTTTTATAGGTGCTTCGAGAGGGAGAGACACAGAGAGTGTGCTATGTATCAGACAGAGGAACTGCTCTTCTTGGCTAGAGAAAAGAGCGAATTGATTTCAGGGATACAATCGAAGGCATGGAATGGTTGGTATTTATAAGAGGCACGAGGCAGCCCAGGAAGAAGAAAAAAAAATATTGCAGGGGCACGTGGTTTCGAAGTATTGGGATACTTGTAATTTTATTTTATTTTTGCCTTCTGGATTTCAATCAAGCTCCATGCATTCACTGTAGTTAGATAAAGACAGTTAAAGCAGTTGGGCTGGGAAATGAAAATATTCTTGACCGCTTGGGATTTGAGTGTGATATTAGATTACTTTAACGCATGGATCAAGGAATTACGTTTTTGTCTCGTGTTATTTTACAAGGGTGTTTCCTGTCCCCTTGCGGAAACTTTTTTTATTCTTTTTTGTAAAGCTGCAATCAAAAAGAGTTACCGTGCCACTTTGTGTTTAACAGAGAGATTCCTTACTTTAGCCACCATCACCATTGCCAGCACCGGGCATGGCTTTGGTTGCAAATATATAATATCTACTTAATTTATATGGGATGACCATGTGAGGATCTTAACGTAGTTGAAACAAATAATGTTATGATGTGAGCACTTGCAGTCCATACGGTCCCTGGAAACAATTGAAGTTGAACAGAATATAGATATAAGTTTTTTTATACATATATTTTCTTGGAAATCAATCTTAATCATAGCAAATGGAAAAATATAATGTAAAGAAGTTGTGAAATACCAGTTCGCTTTAGACGGCCATCGTCATCAAACCACCTGGAGCCACCTTGTTGATGCGTGTCAATGGAGATATTGAAAACTTGGCGATTCATTAGGCTCGTGTTCATATTTCTGATATAACAGAGAGGTTGCTGTGGCAGTAGGTGAAGATTGGAATTGAGTTGTGTTGGTGTACGAGAGACAGAGAGAAACAGGGACAGTACTCTCAACTTTTAGTAATTAATTAAAAAGGTTACAGTGGAATGCAAGAGGATTAATTAGACTGGTGGTAAAAACAAGGACAGGTGTTTTAAACGCGTTATGTATTTTTTTATTTTTCATGTGGGGAAATATGAAATTAGTTCCCGAACTATAACTTGTATCTTAATTGAGTCCTCATTAATTTGGTTTCTCATTTTGATTTAATCACCTAAGTTAATTCTTAAGATTTTAAATATCAGAGATATGATTTAACGTGTGAGGAAATATCATTTCCACACAAACCATGCATGTGGCCTTGGTAAGAACTAAGAAATACATGCATGATGGTGAGATTCTACTCTGGATCAAATATTAATATGAAAGTTGAATAAATGTTTCATATGAGTAACTCATTATAAAAAAAAATCTTAATTTTTTAAAATTTTAATTTTTTTAAATCCACAAGCTACATCATATAAATCATATAGATTGCAGTTAATTTTTCACCAAAAACAATTATACAACTATGGTTTTATTTGTTTGATAAAAAGTGCTTTTCTGGAAAAAAAATTTAAATTTTTTTTATGTTTATTTATCATTAGAAAAATTGGTTAATAAAAATAATTTTTAGTCAAAAAAATTTAGTTTGGTTTTTAAAAAGGTATTTTTTTTTATTTTTGGTGGAAAATATTTTCTAAAAGTTGTGAAAAATTTAAAAATATTATATTATTTATTGATTATATCAAATTTGATCCTTAAACTTTTGATTGCTATATATATTTTGTTTTGAATTTTTTTTCAATTTCATCTCTTAGAATTTGATTTTTATATTAACTTTGGTTCTTATTTTTATAATTATTTTTTTATCTCTTGTCATTTTTTAATTGTAATTTTTTATCTATCAAATTTGATCGTTATTCTTTTGATTATTACTTATTTTATTTGAAATATTTTATGAAATGATAATAATAATTATTTTAATTTATTTATCTTTTGATTTTTTTATTTATTAGATTTTATCTTTATTATTTTGATTATTATTTATTTTATTTGAGATAATTTATGAAATTATATATTTTTTTCAATTTCATTCTTATTCAATTTTTTAATTTGTAATATTTATTCCTTATTATTTTAATAAACTTAAAAAAATAAAATATTAATAAGTTATTTTCCATGACATAATCAGATACTAGAAAGTGTTTTCCAACTTATTTTTTATTATGCTACTAAATATTAAAAAATAATTTACTTTTCTGAAATTTATTTATTTTTAAATAATTACTTTATAGAACTCAAGCCTTTTAAAATATTGTTATTACCTAATTTTATCAAAAACACGTTTTAACTCATAAAATTATATAATTTTACAAATTAAAACATATAAAATATATAAAATCAAGTTAAAAATTTAAATATTAATAAAAATTATTAAACTCATGCAAAAACCATTCAACTCATTAAAATCATTCAAACCGGATAGATTTCACAATTTTACGGTAAGAATTAAAAAAATTGCTCGGTGCTCACTGCTGAGTCAGCACTATCCTTTTCCCATGAGCCCCCACTCTACCGCCCATTTGCTAGAGAAAAGAGCGAGTTGATTTCGGGGACACAATGGAAGGCATGGAATGGTGGGTCTTTATAAGAGGCACGAGGCAGCCGAGGAAAAAAAAACATAAATATTGCAGAGGCACGTGGTTTCGAAGTCTTCTTATCGCAATACTTTGCCTCAAAAACCAAATTCAAGCTTTCAATTCTTTATCCTGGACTCCTCGTAATTTTATTTTATTTTTGCCTTCTGGATTTCAATCAAGCTCCATGCATTCACTGTAGTGATAAAGACAGTTAAAGCAGTTGGGCCGGGCAATGAAAATATTCTTCAACCCTCCATGGCATATATAGTAGCATGCAAACAAAGCTTATGATTACAGAAACTTTCCAGTGCTCACTGCTGAGTCAGCACCAACATTTTCCCATGAGTCCCCGCTCCACCGCCTGATACTCCACCCGCCCCATTTCCCCTCCTTTCCTCTTTCCCCTTTCCCAGGGGTTTTTAATTTGTTTTAATTTTGACAAAAAAAAACAGTCTCATGTATTAGTTGTTATGCCCATCGTTTTCATGCTTGACAAATTTTCATTTCACAGAAAGATTAGAATTATTTAAAAGTTATAGTTTAATTAGTTAAATATTGAATTTCTATTCCAGATATAACTAGTTTGAGTGTTATTATTAATTTTAAATTTTTTAAAAATTAATCAAAATACACAACACTATGACTGCCAAAAATATAAAATCTGGGGCGCTTTAAAAAAATAGTCTGGATAGAATTTCTGCCGAGAAAAGCATGCGTTTTAGAAACAAAATCTATGAAGTCTATGGATTAACTCAAGATCATGAGGCACTGTACCTCTTAAACTGGCCGATCATGCTGATGATATGGGCTGGCATCACCAAAAACGTCTTAAAAAGAGCAGTATTGTTTGTAATAATGCATTTCTCTCCACCTGGGATGTTAAAAAAAGACCATGGGTCCACCTTCCAAGTGGCTGGTTTACTGGTAGGGAGGTACTACAGCCCAACATTAGTTAAGCATTAAGTATAACACCAAAAAGTGTGGGATTTTTATATATATTTTTATAAGAAGATTAAAATGCGAGGCTTAAAGGTTACGGAGGCAGAGAAAGAGAGACAAAAGGGTGATGTGCTATGTATGTATTTATTGACTAACTCAAGCTTGTTGAGGAAGTTTCAACCAGAGAGAGAAAGGCAGATTCTTCTCGTTCACACTGCCGGGCTTTACTTTTTTGGCGACCAAACTACCACTAGAACGCGTACATACACCGCTAAATACCCCTGTAGCTGATAATTATTTTTAAAATTAGGCAAATATAACACTATGCACAGTGTCATCATTTAGATTTAAATGCGTGGTTGATTGGTGATGGAGAATGTACTTCTTCTTCTTTTTTTGAGTTCTTTTGAGACTGATATCTGAAAAAAAATTAATTTTTTAAAATGCATTATGTTAATATAAGAATTAAAAAAAAATGTTTTGAAATGGGATTTAGTCTCCATTGATGTTTAAATTGACTCTAATATATTTCTTATTATCAAATTAGAAAATACATAATAGAAGGTATATGTTTGGTAGTACATTTTTTAAAAGCTTTTTTTTAAAAAAATATTAAATTAATAATTTTCTAATTAATTTTGATGATTTTGATATTCTTGTATTAAAAATATTTTAAAACATTTATTTTTCATTTTTTATTTTTTACAAAAATCCCTTAAAAAAACACCTTAATCACAATGTCAGATAATAATCAAGATTACCGATACAAAAAAGGCTTCTATTAATTGCTAAACACATTTGCATCCGCGTATGTCATATTGACACTCCAATTTTTGCCAATCCGAATGTACATATGGTGAGTTCCACATATGACATTGTATAAACCCCTCGGTGTCTTAAAAAAACCAAAAAAATTAGTCAAAAAAATAAAAACTAATCGAAATTCAAAATAAAATTGAGGTCAGATTTATTTTTTAAGACAGGAAAAATAACACACAAGCTAAATTTTTTCCCACAAAACCCATAAACATCAAAATCGATTATTTTTATTAAAATTATTATCAAGTGTCTTTTTTCTGCCATCAAAACCCACTAACCTTTATCTCTCCTCTTTAACAATAAATTGTAAAATAAAATAAAAAAGTTTTATACCATAACTGAATTTCAAAAAGGCTTTAGATGGATTTAAACAATGAAATGATGTTTTTTCCCTCCACGTTGACAACTAATGAAGTGAAAATTTGGGCGAGGGGAATGGTCTTTCCATGAGATTTTATTGGTATTACTAAATTGTTTCAGGGTAAATTAGTCTTCTTATTTTTTTAGTATAATAAATGACTTAGTTACCCTTAAAATCAATAAAATTAAAAGGGGCATTCATAAGCTTTTTAGTCTTTTCACTTTTTTCAATACAGTAAAATGCTAGAAATACCCCTAAAAGCATAATTTACTAAAATGGTTTTCATGATTTTTTCATATTTTCATTTTATATTTTTTTTGGTTATAAGAAAATGGATTAAAAGGAAATTTTAATATTAGTATTTTGATAAAAACAAATATTATTAAAAAAAAATTGACATGTACATTGAAATCATTAGCCCGTGATTGGTTCCCACTCATTTTGAGTAACGCTTACGGCATTGCTCATTAACCAAATATTAGTTTTTAGAGCGGCTTTGAAACGTGTTTGATGTTCCCTCCATGCTCAAGCAACACGTGTGGGGAACGAGAACGAACCACCAGTTATGAGATGATAACCTTTTCTTTTTTTATTCTTCCTTTTCTTTCACCCTCTCGATTCCCGCACCAAGCCCTCTTTTTTCTTTTTCTTTTTTTATAAAAAAACAACCATTCAATTTTTTTTTTTTTTGAATTTGATCCTTTGTTTTTATAATTTTATTATTCAAAATAATTTATAAATTTGGATCTTGTTTTGCAATCTCATACTTCTTTAATTTTTTTATCTTTCAAATGTTGTCCTTGTACTTTGATTTTTTTTTTAAATTACAATTTTATTGATTTATTTTATTTTTCAATTTCACCATTTGTTATATTATTTTATTTAATTTTATATTAAATTTTATTTTTAATTTGTTACTATTTTTTTATTTTTTTATATATTTTTCAATATTTTTCCTCGTTATTTTATTTAATTACTATATTTTATTTAATTCATATTCTTTTGATTTCTATCTATTTTATTTTTTAATTTTGGATGATTTAAAATTTTGCTTCGTGATTTTTACGGTTTTATTTTTATATGGTAACCCAGTCTTATGACCTGAGTCATAGGTTTTGAAGACTGTCTCCGTTTGACTTCAGTTTTTTTTGTTTTTTTTTTTTTTTTTATTTTATCATTTAACATCAGATTATTTGACCTTCAATTTTATAATTTTTGTTATTTTTATTTTTACATGGGTGACCACGGTATCATATCCAGGTCATGGGCTAGTCGAGTTATTCTCGGTCACCTCAAGTTTTTTTTAATTAATTTTTTTAGTTTCACAATTTATTATTATTTTTTTTTAAGAGTTGACTTTTATTATTTTATTTATTTTTTTATGGAGTCATTCTGACCTCACAAGTAGGCTGTAAGTTTGATATACTAATTTGAGTCAGGTTTTTTAATTTTTTTAAAAAAATTAATAAATTTTTTTCAATTCATTCTTCAACTTTTTTTAATAAGCGAGAAGCGTGGAAGGACTTTCAAACACCATTAAGTAAAGTAATTCAAAAACAAAATCATCCTAGCAGCGTTTTAACAATAAGTGATAAAAGTACGCTTTACTTATAAATATATTAAAATAATTTTTTTATTTTTAACATAATCATTTCAAAATAATTGAAAATCACTTAAAAATAATTATTTTAATATATTTTAAAAATAAATATACTTTCAAAACATACCAAACGCAATTTAAAATGAAATTCCAAACATGCAGCAAGTCTGGATTAAATAAAACATAACTGCAGTACAATTTTAAAGCCCAAATCCATCAACGGAACAAGTGGCATATACTTTACTCACACAACCAAAACGCTACCATATCCGTTCTGTAGATAAAAATTGACTCACTTTGTCGATCCATATCCATCGCGGGCCCCACATCTCAACTCACCTCTCCTCGCTTTGCCACGTGTGCATGTTTCCGTGGCCCAGCTATCCAACACCACGTCATCTCTGACACCACCAATCTCATCTTCTTTTAGTATCCCCACCTCAAAACTCAAAACACTCGAAGCTCACTAGACAAGTGAAACAATGAAACCCATACAATTTCGGAGCCTTCTTCTTCATTTTTCGCTTGCCCTCTTCCATGCGACGGTAGCCCATGAACCTCCTAGTGGAACCAGCATAATCTTTGCCACACTTGGCAGATTAGATTATGACTTTGACATATTTACCCTGCCAACCGGGGAGCCGCCTACAAAAACCAACGAACTCCGAATTACAGATGGCGAGTCAGTAAACTTCAACGGCCACTTCCCTTCTCCATCTCCCTCTCTCCTCTCTCGTTTAACCAACAAAACCCTAATAAACCCCCCTGGCCAACAAAACCCATCCCCTCTGAACCTCATCTACGTCACAGAACGCGGTGGATCGTCAAATATCTTCTATGATGCGGTTTATGTCGATCCTCCGCGAAGCGCCCGATCAAGGTCAGCCCTTGAAATTCCTAAACGTGTACAAGTTCCCTTGTTGAATGGAAAAGGTGGAATTTCGATGAAGGATAAGCCCACTGTGAGCGGAGATTATTTAGTATACGTGTCAACACATGAAAACCCAGGCGAGCCAAGGACGAGTTGGGCTGCAGTGTACGCAACCGAGTTAACAACCGGGGTGACTCGGAGACTCACCCCACATGGAATTGCCGATTTTAGCCCTGCAGTCTCTCCTTCTGGCGTTTACACAGCTGTGGCTTCTTATGGAGAGAGAGGATGGAGCGGTGAAGTGGAGGAACTCAGCACAGACATCTATATATTCTTGACTCGTGATGGGACTAGCCGAGTTAAGGTGGTCGAACACGGAGGGTGGCCGAGCTGGGTCGACGAGTACACGTTGTACTTCCACAGAAGAAGCGTAGAAGATAACTGGATAAGTGTCTATAAGGCAACTTTACCGAATCAAGGGCCGATCTCGATTGAGTCAGTGATCGTCGAGCGAGTGACACCACCTGGTCTTCACGCGTTCACTCCAGCTACTTCTCCAGGTAACAAGAAGTTTATAGCAGTAGCCACGAGAAGACGTAACTCGGATTATCGCCATGTAGAGCTATTTGACCTAGTTAAGAACGAGTTTATCCCGTTGACTCGGCTAGTATCTCCCCAAACTCACCACTTGAATCCGTTTATCTCACCCGACTCAGCCCGAGTTGGTTACCACAGATGTAGAGGTGCTACCAGTGATAAAAAGAGCACCCACTTGTTACTGGAGAATGTCAAAAGCCCAGTACCTGACGTTTCGCTTTTCAGAATTGACGGGTCATTTCCTTCCTTCTCACCCGCGGGTGACCGAATTGCTTACGTTGATTTTCCGGGTCTGTATGTGGTGGACCGGGACGGTTCGAACCGGCGACAGGTTTTTACTGGGATGGCATTCTCGACCGCTTGGAACCCGTCTCGTAAAGGTGTTGTCTACACAAGTGCTGGACCCACTTTTGCCAGTGAGAGTACCGAGGTAGATATAATCTCCATTAATATTGATGATGATTTGGGGCAAATTAATAGTTTCAAAAAGTTGACCTCTAATGGTGAAAACAATGCATTTCCTGCGGTTTCACCCGACGGGAAATGGGTAGTGTTTCGGTCCGGTCGGTCCGGTCATAAGAACTTATATATAATGGATGCTTCGGAAGGGGAGAACGGTGGGCTCTATAGGTTGACAGAGGGTCCATGGAGTGACACCATGTGTAATTGGTCACCAGATGGCGAATGGATTGCTTTTGCATCCGACCGGGAGAACCCTGGTTCAGGAAGTTTTGAGTTGTTTTTGATCCATCCGAATGGAACTGGTTTGAGGAAGTTGGTTCAAAGTGGGTCGGCTGGGCGGGTTAACCACCCTTATTTTAGCCCCGATGGAAATAGTATTGCGTTTACCTCAGATTATGGGGGCATATCAGCTGAGCCAATCTCAAACCCCCATCATTATCAGCCTTATGGAGAGATCTTCACGGTTAAATTGGATGGCTCTGATTTGAAGAGGTTGACACATAATTCGTACGAGGATGGAACCCCGGCATGGGGGCCTACATATATCAAGCCTAAGGATGTGGAGTGGCCAGGTCACGGACCACAGTGCTCCTTTGAGGAGTGCCACTGGCTCAATAAAATGCCAGTTCTTGGTGATACGGCTGCACCGTGGGAGTCAACCAAGCCTCAATGTAGCAGTGCTAGCCCTTAAGCCCTGGTTTATTCTGTCCGATGGACGTAAAAAAGATGCTCGCTGTAGTGAAATGCTGCTCTGTGAAAATTGTCTTTACTATCTTGTATTGATATATATACATATGTATATATGTATGTATGTATGTATGTATATGTGTGTGTGTGTGTGTGTGTGTGTAATGCTTCTGCTGGCTGGCGTGTTCTGTCTGTAAAGTATTTCAGTGGGGAGATAATGCACATGAGAAGTTGGGAACCTATTACAACTTAAGATGATGAAAACGAACAAAACTGTAACTGAGATGTGCCAGCATTCAGGGAAAATGTGGATGCGTAAACTGTAATTCAATATCCGGTAGAGATTGAAAAAGAGAAGTAAAATTATTTTATGGAGCCCTGCTAAATTCTGACTATGGATTAACTAAACGAGAAAGAAGGATATATCATACAATATTATAAATCTCTGCCGGAAGAGTAGGCAAAGCAAAAACTCTAGATAAGCTAAAAAAACTACAGACGTGCTACAACATTTTACTGGAAAAAATGGTACAGTGATGCGTATGGACTGCATTGCTTGGAACCAGAAGAGCCACCAAAAGCAGGTGATTCACTTGAAGCTGATCCAACAGAGTATTGGAAGAATTCTTCAGGCAAAGCAAGAGTCTAGGGGCCTAGGTTCTGGAAGAATTCCCCAGGTATTGAAGGAGGGCAGTACTTCTTTGCTACAAATTTGTACTGCGACGAAAAAAGTAAATAACCCAGATAAGATTAGGACGCATGCGCTTCATGCCATTCCTCAGCCTGGCACTAGGGTTCATGCTATGTGAGAGATACAGAGAAGCAAGGACAGAATGAGAATCTTGTTTACCTTATGCTGACTGTATTTCTCCCTGATCGCAGGTAAAGTAGAATTATGGTTTCCACAACACAGGCGATGGAGATCCTTTACACAGTCACTCAAATCAACAGGCTCATAAAGTGTGTAATGTTGCAAAGTGGAATTCTGTTGGAGAAGAAATGGAGTATCAGGCATGCTAGCGGGTTTAACTTGAACAGTGGAGTAGATGCATCAGATGCCATGTAAATCCCAAAAACTAAAAGTTTCTTTTTTTTCTTCTTTTTTCTGAACACACGTACCCATGGTCTCTTTGTAGGAAGAAGTATATATTTGGCCAAGAAAATGGCAGAGGCAGCTACCAGTGACGGAGCATAGCAAAGCATACTATATTCCAGGAGAGATAATTCTGCGATGTAGTTGGCCAAGCACTCCAACTGCATTGATGGAACCTAGGAAAAGGACACACACATAACAGCCAAAACTAACCATATATATTACGGAATGGAGGTGATAGATATTACTATAAAAATCAACAATTCTATGGCCAGCAGAACAAAAATAGATACCTCATTGATTCCTTGAGCAGCACGAACAAATCGCCTACTTGTCATGGCAATGAACTAGGTATGAAAACAGTATCGCATATAGGGAATAGAACATAGAGTTGATAACCATAAGTTTGCTATTACCTCAAAAAACATTTAGCTGTTGGGGCTGGCATTTCGAACTTCAAGGAGTTCAAAACAGTTGATTCCATTTCCAGAACCTGCAGCCATTAAAATTAATTGATACTTGTACAGGTTGACAGAATTATCTGACAAATGCACTTGAGCATAACGACAACAAGACCAATACCTCATCCCTGAAATACGTGTTATCAGTAATGTAGCAAAACTCTTCCACCTGGGGTGCGCATATTTCCTCGTATTTCCTAGCAATATAATCATGTTCCTCGTTAATATACAAGATGGTTAATTTTTAGAGGAAAAAAGAGGTTCCCTGTATCAGGAACAAACAAAGACATCCCAGGAAAATCATTCTTACGCAGCAATCATCATGCAAGCAACACCAAGTAGCTGCAGTCTTTGTCTGTTCATCACATTCCCAGACAGATATCGATCAATGTAGTTCACTGTCAGATACAATGTATCAGGTACAAGCCTGTACTCTTCGGCCACCTGTGCATTTTGAATTACAAGTTCATCACGTGCCTACTAATAATCCATCTGAAGAAATATTGTTAATCCCAGAATCCATATACCAATCTGAAGAATGGTTTCAGAAATTGACGAAAAATATGTAATGTAATAAAGAAATGTTACCTCGACCAGCCAGTCAACCAGTATTGCACGCATGCTGGCATTTATGTCTTTCTGAATTCTTTCCATGAAGTCTGTGGAAGGCCTTTTCTTCATCTAAAATTCCATGAATTCAATAAAGAAAAGAATAGCGTAAGTCCAGGAACTTCAGGTAGAACTCTGGAAATGCATTGTGCATACTAATATCTAACTCGAAGAGAACGACAGGTCATACATGGAAAAAAGTAAATAGCAATTCCACAAGTAAGGACAACTTATACTACAAAGGAGACTCGTACTGGCAAATAAGCTTGAACACTCAAAGACTGTAAAACCAATGAATTCTGAAAGGAAGCTGAAGACATCATCATGGACAAAAGAAAATGAAACCACGAAACCCAGTGAGAGGAAAAGAAATAAATAGATATTGATGTAGTCGATTTAAAAATACTTCATGAACAGCACGCAAAAGAAGAGCATTAATTGATGTTGACAGGAAAATAACAAACCTCAGATGCACGCAAGTGCTTGTAAATATCACAGGCAATGGTTGCACACAGCTGCGGATCCTGGTAATTGTCGTCAACATTAACAATTTTATCTTCTTTTTCCATATCAGCAAATGCATCTCTGATGCACATATTTTCTGTAAGCATGCAAAAATTACATTAGGAAGCAAGAAAAAAAAACAACATGCATTAACATATAATAAAGACAGGAGAAGTGAGAATGGAAAAGGTTAAGAACCTGCAGTTTCCACATGATCTGAGATGTACAGATTGCTCAAGGTCTTCTTATTGATAGAATCAATTGCTGTTATTTCATTGCTATCTATATATTCAATTTCAGGGCTCTTAAAAGAATCGCAGGTGGACATTGATTCATCCAGAGAAATTGAAAAATCATCAGATTTACTTGGAGAAACATCCATGCAGCATGGAATGGAAACAGCAGTAGCAATAGAGACATTTTCATCTCTTCTTGGGTTGGAGATCACCTTACAAGCACCACCTGTACTCGATTTCGCATTTAAGGATGCAGGTAAAGTTTTTCCAGAGAAACCTGCACTGCTATTAGAAGCAGGAGGTCCCTTCTTCACCTTGGCAATTTTATTTGAGAATGGTGCCTAAATTTATAAAATTCGATTAGGATCAACCAATTCTCTGAATGTTAGAACAAATTCACCAGCTCAATCAAACATCAGAATAGAGGGAAGTGAAAATTCACTTAGCAATTAGCACTTGGGAACTCAATCAGAAAGTCAGTGTCTATGGCGATTCAACCAATGCTGCTTTGTAACGAAAAGCAGAGCCATCGAGGGATCAAACTTTCATGCTTGGTAATGTTCTCATGCCACTATGAGGATAGCATTATCAGCATCAGATAGCAATACAGTTTCTATGCATGCAACGAAAGCATTATCTTCAAATTTCATATTATCTAGTCAAGTAAAATTAATTGCACTTTACACAGATCACAACAACGCAGCAGTTTTTGTCAAGATTCTGATCAACAGAGTCTAATGTTTCCGAATAAAACGAATGACATAATTGAATATTTTTAATGCTCCTGAAATGATGATGATAATAATAATAATAATAACAATAATAATAAAATTCTAATTTTGCATATGAGGCAAATTCTTTAATCTTTTTTTTTCCTGGTTCCAAATAATCATGAATTCTTTTAACATTTACTATCTACCTTTTTTAATTAAAGTTCCTCGGCAAACAAGCACATCAAGAATAAATGCAATAAAGAACTTCCCCTTTTCAAAACCCACAAATTCCCCTTCAAGGAACCAATAAATGTTCTTTAATTTGCAAGAATTATAAAAAACCTAGTGGATTAACAGGAAAACACAGAACCCCCATGAAGAATTGAAAACAAAAGAACAAAAAAAAAGTCAATATGCAACAAACAATAAAAAGAATACAAAGACACAGAAGACCCGTTAAATGTTCTTTAATTTATCAGAAACCAGGCAAAAAGAACATAAAAAAATTTAGAAAGAGAGAAGAAAAGAAAACAAGTATTAAGAAAAACCCACCAAAGTAGACGATGGAATGGAGTTTCTTGACCCCTTTTGAGTAGCATTCTTTTGATTCGTAATGTCACCAAGAGGCGCTCGTTTCTTGGCCAGATGAGTCGCAACCGCCGTGGCCTTCCCTACATTATCCGTTGATGAAGAAGACGCATGTCTTTTTGCGAGAGATGACGACGTCGAAGACGAGAACGACGAACGGCGTGTCTGTGCTGACATTTTCAATACAAAAGTGAAAACCCCTCTCGGTCTTCAATATTAGTTAAAAGAATGAGAAGTTAAAGAAAGAGAGAAGTTTAAAAGGAAACAAAACAATCTTGGATTTTGGAGAGAAAGCAAAAGGGGCTCTCTGCTCTGGCTCTCTTATTTGCAAAGAAGGAGAGGGAGTGGTTGTGTGTTCAATTTACTGTTCAATTACTTTTTTTAATACTTTTGAGGCGGGGCGAGGGCTTGATTTGAATTGCTGAGAGATCTCGACCGTTTGATTCAGGCTCGGTATTCGTTGGGAGCGTAGGCTTTGTGGGGACCACTATATGTGTATTGTGTTTTCTGGGTTTGTTTTAGGAGTGTCACTGACGAATGATATTCTGCCACGAGGATAGAGATTCTTTATTCTTATGGAGATTGGCTGATTCGAGCATGTGGTTAATGGTTGGAAGGTCACAGACTGTCTGTCGAGATAGGTTTTCAAGTTTTGAATTCGAATTTCAAACGGTCACCGGATCCGTCTTTATTAGTAGCTTGGAATACCAGTACACAACACAAGGAAGACCATTTTGTTAATATTTGAGCTGCTCAATCATGTATTTCACATAGATAAGTGAACTTTTTACGCCTAGTGTGGAGTAAATTTTAAGAAAAATCAAGATCTCTATCTTATAATATAATGTGTCACACGTGCATAAGTTTCTAATTAGAAACCAGTTTTTGAAAGTTTGTTTTAGTTTTTATAATTCAAATATATATATTCAAATTCTTTTATCATCTTTGTGCAACTCTTGGATCAAAATTATTTTAAATGTCAAAAAATTAATATTTATACTATATTAATTTTTTTTATCATTTTTATTAAATTTAGTATAATGTTTTAAATATGAAGATATTTTTTTTGGTTCTTTACTTAACTTAAATTTTAAGTTAAATTATGTGAGACGTGTTATGATATAATCTTGTTAATTAGAAAAGTCTAATAAAAAATTAAGTTATGTTATTATTGTCAACCCGTTAAATTTATGATGTAAATTAACTACTTTATTATGTTGAATTATTTTTTATGAAAATTGATTTATCGATCCAAAATTAAAAGATAGAATTTAATAAAAAATTTACACTGAATGATAAAATTAAAAAAATAATAAAATAGTAGTGTTGAACTTGGACTACCACAAAACAATTAAATAGCATAGTCATGAGGAGACTTAGATGCTCGACTCAATAATTCTTTTTAATAAGAAATGGATTATATACTATATGTTTTTTTTTTTTTAAAATTTACAAACAACACATCACTTATTATTGAAAAAAATATTAGCACCTCTAAGAACACCTCAAACCCATTACCTTGACTTCGTGTGCTAACCATTTAAATTGCAATACAAAGTTGTTATTTAAATGATTAAAAAATATATTAATGCTGTTTATATATAAAAAAAACTACTTATACTCTCATTTCTATTTATCATTTCTCTTTCATTTTCTCAATCCCAGTTATATGTTTTAAAAATCTTTTTAATTCATTTCATCTTTATGACTTGTTACAATTTCTTTCTTAAAATGCTTTATCACGGTGATGACAGTAATAATGATTAAAAAAAGAAAAGAGGAAAAGCAACAAGCTGGTGAGAGATGATCATCCCAGCTTCAATATCAAAGACATAGGACCTCGGCAAAACCATGGTGGAGAATAGAAAATATTGTTTGTTTTTTCATAATCATATGTATGTTCTAGGATTTACTTAACGAGACATGAGAAATCCTAATGCATTGCTAGAAGTTCCCATGATTGCATGGTGGAGAATAGGATAATGTCTGGTTTTTTTCATAATTACATGCATGTTCAAATGGATTGTAAAATCTCACAGCAAGTTTTCCTTGATGGTATATTCATTCCTTCGTCCAAACCAGAAGTAATTTCTGACATAAGCTTATGCTGAACAAGCAAACAGAGCAAAGAATTTAGGTTGCGAAACAAACAAATATGAAAAAAGACATGAACCCTTTTAGATGATGCCCTTAGAGAAAGCAGATCTTTAAGAGAGAAAGCGGGAAGAACGACAACAACACCAACGAATATCTCCGCAGCGGGAAGAACGACAACAACACCAACGAATTTCTCGGCAAGTCACTTCTTCCTTGTCCCAACCACTGCACTTCTATGACTAGAGAGTGCTACAGTACTCTCAATATAGAGTGAACGTTGTTCACAAAACCAAAATAGAGATTGTTTCAAGGAGCAACAATGCTGCAAGTAAGCCTATACATTCTAGCTATTATAGCTAGGGGGAGCGCAAGTAGACGTTAATCTAAAAAAAAAAAAAAAAAATATCTCCGCAAATCACTTCTTCCTTGTCCCAATCACTTCTATGACAAG